AGGGGGAGGGGGAGGTGGAAGATGGAAAAGTGGCTGAAGATCAGGAAGCTAACGTTTATATATACAAGTCGGTAATGGACAATCCTGTGCTGAAGTAGGATTCCATGAAGAGTGATTATTTTCCAAGGTGATGGTCCCTCCCTACCTCCCCTGCTCCCTCCCTCCCTTCCTGCCTCCTCCTCTCCCTCTCTCCGCTTCCTTCCACTGGTCCTTCCATCTGGCCATGCGTCAAATGATCCCACCCGTTGTCACCTTTCTGAGGACTCGAGATATTTGACAAGGTTGAGCCGCAACTCAAAGAGTACAATGATCTAGCATGGAGGGACCGCAAGTTGAGCCGCAAGATGAGCCCCAAGTTGAGTCGCAATTTGAGCCGCAAGATGAGTACAATTGTGATTTATCCTCTTCTGGAGGGACCGCAAGTTGAGCCGCAAGTTGAGTACAATTAATATCGAGTTATGGAGATAGCCGGTAGTCGTTGAGCCGCAAGATGAGTGAATTCATATCCAGATATGGAGGGAGCCGCTTGGTTGTTGTTGAGCCGCAAGACGAGAAGAATTACGAGTAATATCCAGTTATGGAGGGAGCCGCTTGGTAGTCGTTGAGCCGCAAGATGAACCAATGCTCTAGCATAGTGAGCCGCAAGCTCAGCCGCAAATTGCAGTTGGGAGGGAGCCTCCGAGCCGGTAGTTCGTTGAGCCGCAAGTCGATTACAAAAAATTGTCCAGTTATGAAGAGAGCCGCAAGTTGTTGAGCCGCAAATTGACAGCAATGATGTGGTATATGGAGGGAGGCGCAAGCGGAGCCGCTCAACTCACTCCCAAGTGGAGCTCAAGGGATGCAGTAGTACGCTAGGGCGGCCAAGTCAAGAACCTCGCTGCAATGCATGCGTTAGCAATGGGTAGGGGTCTGTTCCTTCCAGAGAGAACCTGCAAAAAAAAATAGAGATGCGAGGGGGGGGGGAGTAGCGGCAAAAAGTGGCAATGGGAAACAATCACCATTTACAAAGAGCATGTTAGAATTTTGGGGGCGGGGGAAAAATAAAAAAGAAGCGTCAATATCAGACTGGTTAATACAGAGCATGATGGAAGCTGTTCTTTCTCAATGCGCGTGTAGCAAGGGGGAAGGGAAGGGGGACGCGCGGGGAGAAGAGTGAAGAAGAAATCGCGAGAAGAGAGAAAACGAGGAGCCAAACAGAAGAAGAAGAGGACACACAAACTGACAAACGTGGACAGCGGAGAGTATGAGGAAGTGAGATGAACGAAGAAACGAGGGAACTGCAGGTTGAACGTCGACTTCCACGTTCGTCTGGAAGCAGTGGGATGGACATTGGACAGAGTCTGACATGAAGAGGGAGCGATACACACAGACAGACCCAGGTCCCAGGCCTTAGCTGTGGGTCTCTTCTATGTTCGATGCCTGATGTCGAACTCTCGGATCATCGGATGTGTTTAGACCTGCAGATGGTTCGCTCTTCCTTCACTCTTTTCCTCTTGTTTTGCACCCCTATTCCCCTTGCCTCTCTTCTACCTGTCTTTCTCTACACTCCCCCATTACCACCCGTTTCTGTTCGGCGTTCTCTCTCTCTCTCTCTCTCTCTCTCTCTCTCTCTCTCTCTCTCTCTCTCTC